GAAATTGTAGGGTTGGCCAAAACGACGTCGTTTTGGTTAGGAAATCTTTTTTTTTTTCTTTTTAAATTCTTGCATATTGTATCGATTAAATTTCGGTGTACCAGCCGGTATGCCGAAATTTCGGTCGGTACATCAAAATTTAACCAAAATCACCAAATTTTGATTGAAACGGAATTCATTCTTACTTCGTTTCAATCTACTCTAAAAATCGATACGTACCGACCATACAAGCCGGTATGATACGGTATTTACTTCTTTAGAAAATATATTGAATAATAAGAAAATACAATAAAAAACTTGATCACATGGCATATAGTCTAAATCATGAGAGCCTAAAAAGCAGAATCAGAAGCATAACCTACAACCTAGTAACAGATTTAAATTATACCCATGACGAATATAAATAATTAAGTAAAAAGAGCCATCTGCAACTAAAAATTATAATTACAATCGTTATATGGGCTAAATAAGACTATTAATGTAGAAAGGAGAGTCACTATGAGCATCAGAAGCTACTGGACGTCCTCGCCTAATTAACTAGCTTCATACGGAGAGCAAGGGATTTCGGCAACAAACAGTCCCTAACCCACAAGTTGCCACCCTAACTATTCATTGAGGAATAATCAACAAGAGGGTCATGGTCCTCCATCCAAGCCCAGGCACCTCCCTCGGCTCCATGAGCTCCCAACCATGACCCTAATTGTTCCAATCCTTTTTAATCCCATGTGGCCGAAATTCATTAAGGGAACAAGAGCCCCTTTAGCGATTGGAATAGCGTTCTCCCCTTGCAGAACACCGTTTGCTTTCCCAACCGCAATCCTTTCCTCCTATTTTTGCCCAGAAAACCCAATCAATCTCCAATGACAACCACCTGGATCAACAATTACAATAGCTTTCGTAGGGTTCCAAGAAGCCATTAAAATGTTTTGGAGGCCATTAAGGTTGATCCTCCATCGAGATAACAATTTCCCAATCAACCGTAACTTTTCCACTTTAGCATCATCCTGTTTCCAAGACATATGCAGTGGGAGGATCTCGGCTTTGTTCTCTGTGATTCGGATCCGGCTGAGCATAAAACCTAAGTCATCTTCCGCCATGATTGGGATGCTATTGCAGTGGTGAAACAAGACGAATTTGTAGAGATCTGGCCTCCCAAACAGATGTGGCGATTTGGCAAAGATAAGAGAAGCACCAGGTTATGGCGCCCCAACCGGATCGACTGAAAAACCCTGTCCAAAGGCTCGAAGCAAAGAGAAAGAAAAATAGAAAGGCTCTGTTGCTGGAGAGAGGTCTTGAAGGAAGAGGCCCATCGACTCCAAACCCGAACTTGAGGAGTTTGGAGCACGGGAGAAAAAATTTAAAAATAAATTTAAAAATTACATTTCACCCTCTTAAGGATGAACAGAGTTTTTTTTTTTTAATCGGCCAATATTCGCATTTTTATCCTTCTAGAATGAGAGAAGTGTTTACCATGACTTTTAAAATATTAAAAGAAAATACCTACTTTCAATAAATTTTATTATAAAAAACAAAAATAACTTATTTTTAAAACATAAATATGATTATTTTGCTCTTTTTTATGGTACTTTGCCAAGACAACTTGGGCTTTATTTTATTTTTTTTTTTTTTTCATTTTAAGAAAAAATAAGTGTTACCCGTAAGAAAAGTTGCATGGTAACCAAATGAATAGTAGCAAGAAAATACTTTGCATGGTAACCAATCAGAGGTGTTGTTGCACTTGGCAGTTTCCTGAGTATGGCTTGCACTGCTAAAAAAAAACTCTCAACTTCTTTAACACATTTATTTTAATAGTTTAATTAAAATTGTCTAGGCTTCCTTATGTCATAACTCAATTTTCAACATAGTATTGCTAAAAATTCTCAAATTTAATTAAAAAAATATGGATGTGCAAAATAATAAAATTTGAAGAAAAATTATAAAATTGATATAAATATAAAAATATTGAATAAAATTTGGAAATAACAATAAAAATAAATAAAATTTGGCAAATGGACCTAATTGTAAAAATAACAAAGTTTTTATGCTTGTTTCGGGGACTAATGTGAGGAGTGGACAAAACAAAAGGATCAAATTATTCACATTTAAAAGTTGAAGGACAATATGCAACTGTAATACCCGCGAATTTTCTAGCTTCGTATTGTGTAAGTTTAATCTTTTTGGGGATTAGATTGCAAGGCATAAGAATTATTTAGAGGTACTTAATTAACAAGGTATTACATGGGAAATTATTTGTCAAATTCTATTAATTCTTAAGTGACCAGTGAAAAAATAAAAAGAAAATAAAGAAAAAAATGACCCTAAACTTAGAAATAAATGTTAAAAATGTTAATTTCATTATCTATTTATTATAGTGTTGAAATGTTAAAATTCTAAAACAACCCTAAACTTTCTTGAATGAAAAGAAAAAGTTTCTCTCCATGCCAAACATGCCCGAAATTCTAAGAAACTCAAGAAGTACCTAACATATAAACAAAGTACTTAACTAACACCAACTCAGAATAATGTTACTCTCTATACTCTCTATGGCACCGATGGCTTGTTTCACCATTATTTTGGTTGATAATATTTCTTCCAATAAGCGAGGCGCACAAGTTGAAAATTCCCTTTTACTTATAATCATTGTATGTGAAGCATTGCCACAAGCAATACAATAAAATAATCAAATCCTATCTTGTAGAATAAAATCCATTTCATATTGGTAACTTCAACTACGAAAGGAAAGTAGACACTTCATCCATTCAATTTTAGTAGGTGTAATTTTTGGATATAATAAAATAAAAATGTAATAATTAATTGAAAATATTTTATATTTATTCTTATTATGTTCTATTAAAAAAAAGTACAAATAACCTATTTTCCCAAAAAAGTCCAGTTTTATTTGCCATAAGTAAATGTTTTGGACCATCTTTGTCTATTTCCTAATTATTTAGGGATTTTATTTGCCATAAAACCCAGAATAAAATTCATTTCAAGTTGGTAACTTCTAAGGGTGTTCATATTAAATCCAATCTAATTCAATTGATTTGACATAAACTGATCGAATTCAATAAAAAAAACCAATCCAAATCTATATAAAATTGAGTTGATTTGAATTATAAAATTTTTAAATTGATATAATTAGTTTGGTTTGTGGTTTTACCTTTAAATCACTCAAACCACCTGATTATAAAATAAAACTTGATTACAAGATAATTTAATTAAATAATATCATATATTTTTATAGTATTTTAAATTTTCTTTTCCTTATTTTACAATATAATAACTCTATTAACTTAATTAAAAAATAAAAATAGAACATATATAAATTCTTTAATTTCTTTTCCTTTTTAATTGTGCATTCTAACTCTAATTCTAAATTCCTAATTCATCTGCAACTCTACCCCTCAAAACTAATCTACAACTCTACTCTTTGAACCCTAAATTTCTAATTTGTTCCTAAAATAATTTTGATTCTTCTGGTTAAGTTTTAAAGAAATCATTATAGAGGTCTTAAAACTATATAATAGAACTAGTTTTGATATTTTATTATTCTTGAATGTTTGGTTAAGGAGTTTTAAATCTTGTTTATGAATGCTCCAAATCAATTCTAGTGATACTCATATTAAATTTTATTGCTTTTAACAAAGTTCAAAAGATGTGATTTAATCATTGGTGTATTAAGGAAAAAAAACTAGTTTTTACCTTTAAGAATTATTTGTACTATGCTTGAAATTTGAAGTCATCTGTTATTGTTTTTTAAGCCTCTAGTAATGTAACCTAGAAGAATTTTCAGGTTTTTTCAATCTGACTGACTAAAGGAGTGTAAAAACTTATTTTTTTATTATTTGTGCTTTTTATTATATTTCTACTTATTTATATGTTAATATATTTTATAATAATATTTTTTACTTGATGTTAAAATTTTTTATATTATCTTATATATTTAATATGTTAAAAACCAATCAATCTTACCAAACCACACCGGTCTAATTTAAGTTGAATTGGTTTGATTATCATATAATAGTAGATTGGATCTATTTAAAAATTTTATTAATTGATTAAATTGGATTAGTTTATAAAATATTAAACTCAAACCAAACCACACCATGAACACCCTAAGTAACTTCAACTATAAATGGAAAGTAGATTTATATATACTTTTTGATTTAGAAGGTCAAAGTGTTCTTAGATTCGCTTTCACCTACTTTAAAGGTAATTTCTCTATAAAAGGTTTTAAGTGTTTACTCTTCACATCGGTCTAGTACTTCAAAGAAGATTAATTTTTTTAGGAGTTAGTCCCAAAACATAAACCTTAAAGACGAGTAGGTCCATCCCTTGAAATTCTTCCAAAACATTATTATACTTAAAATCATTGTTTGTGCACCATTGCCACATCCAATACTATAGCATAAGCAAATACTACCTTATAGAATAAAATCCTTTGCCTGTAAAAAAAATAAAATAAAATCCATTTCAAATTGCAACATCTTTATCTTAATAAAATAACTAGGTAATTAAATTGGGGGAGAGATTGGGAATGCCAGAAATAAAACTCTGGACTTTAAGGTGCCCTCACTATGCTCAACTAAGGGTGTGACCACCATGTCAAAAGGATGGTGATATAGGGACAACATTTTTCCCTTATCATTTTATACAATTTTCATATATAAATGTATTTAATATTACGAGTTTTAAATGAATAAAAAAAATCAATTATTTAAATAACACGTAAAATTATATAAAAATCATTTTTCATGCCAAAACGGGATGGGCTTAAAATTGGCAACTTCAAACTACAAAAAGGAAAGTAGGTAATTTTTTTTCTTTTTTTGGTCTATAAGGACAGTTGGAATTATTTTCCTTAAATTGGTGGCTTCTTATTTTGGAGAAAAATAATCACCTATATATATACACATCCAAGAGCAAGAAGGAAACCATAAGACGAAAAACTACAAGAAAGAAGGCAGAAATATCGAAGATGGCTGGAGTTAACCAAAGTTATTTGTCTCCCTACCCACCTTGCGCTAACGGGGGTTGCTACCGTACGTATTCATGTTGTTTCAAATTGCAAGATATTATTTTTATTTTATTTATCTTAGATTTGCATAATTGAAAGATGATTCTCTTTCATTTTTTAATCTATTCCATTTCAACTTAGAATTTATTACTTTTATTGAAAAAAAAAATTATCACTAAAAAGGTGATTGCCTAGATATTTATTTTTATGAAAATAATATAGTTATAATATCATATACATAAAATAATATAAATTTATGCACAGGCCCTACCCTTCCCCCCTAAAAATATTAAGAAAAAGTAAGCTAAAAGAGAGAAGGCGCTACCTTGATAATTGGCATAAATAGCTAAGTAAGACATTAAGTTTCACCAATTTAATACTTAAAGGAACAAACTTTAATTGGTCTTAACTAAGGATTTCAATTCTGACATTTTTTGGCCCATTAGTGGATTTAAATATTCCATGATGTGAAAATTATTTACAAAAGAAAACTTCATTGGTGCTTTATTTAATGTAATTAATAATTTTAGAATATTAAAAAAATTAAAATCTTAAAATACACTTTCTCTCTCTGTTTCCCTTATGTCCATCTTCATTTTCCTACTCCAGCATACTATTAGTACCAGGCCTTGGAGAATTTGCTGGCAAATGCAAAAATATCCAAATTGGTGCACATATAGCAACCACCAAGAAATCAAATTACATTAACACAATTAATCTTAATAAAATGGACATAATTTAGGACTTAAGAAAAATAGATTTGTATATTATTTGAGAAATAATGCTCTTTGTTAAAATTCTTAAGCATAAATAAAAAATATTTATAAAATAATAACTTCATAGTACAAATAATTATACCTTAAAAATAAGTTCATTAACTTTTATAAAATCTGTCAAAATAAATCATTGTCTAACATGTAATTGTTGGACAACTCATTAGTTTCTTCAAGTTATTTGTTTTTTGAAGAATTACTAATAATGACAAAAAGACCATAAGCATAACAACCCTAGATAATTACTTTGGAGACTAGTAAATAAGTGAAAAAACATACTAATAATTATCATATTAACTAGTTATTTTTATTTATTTTTTATTGTTAATTTGAAATATTCTTTTTTCCAAATAAGTATAGTGAGGTCACTACTGAA